AATCTAATGTTTTGTTTTTTAAACGAGGTCTTTGGTTTACTAGAATGTTCTTATTTTCTGATAACAAGTATGGACCTTTAAAATTAAAATTTATACGTTTATACATAAAAAATTCAAAAATTCTTTTAAAAAAAAATTTTTTAACGATCTCATTTTTCTTAATTTATATCATAAAGAAAGGCGGACGAATTAATAGGATATATAATGCTGGAAAAGAGATTTTGGAGAATCTGAAATAAATTTTCGAATTAAAATTTTAAAAATGACAACAAGCTAACATTAACTAAGGAGAACAACGCATGACATAATCTCCTTTTATTGCACTTTTTATTTTCGGTAAAGGTGGATGACAAAAAAAATTGGTCTATAATGTCCTGCTTTTAAGTAATATAATCAGAGGAACTAAAATTTTAATTTCTAGAAAGCCATAAAATTAAGGAGGAAGTGTTAGCTCCTCCTTAATTTCAAATTCGTCCTAGGGTCATTCTCCTATACTATAAATACTGGGGATGCGACATTTGCTCATTTAAACGACAAAAAACTTAGAAATTATGTCTTTCGATTTGTGAGGGACGCCATGAGAATATTAATACGTACGGGAAATCTAAAGAACAGACACCAACATATACACAAAAATGTTGTTTTAAAAATTTTTGTTTTCAAACTTGTTTATATAAATATATATATATAAAATGATATTTTATATATATATTTATATATATATATATATATAACGGTTTCAATTTATTTTTTTATCTTCAGTTGGAAATAACGGCCATTGAAAAATAGTTGGTTTAAAATATTCTATGAACAACAACTCGCAAACAAAACTTGCGGTGGTAGATGGTAGATTAAATGTCCAAACACCGTTATCTTTTTATCAATAAACCAGACAAGATTTTTGCAATAATTTTCCAAAACAATGCGTCTTAACTAAAACGTGATTAAAAATCCCTATAATAATCTTTGACCTAAGAAAAAAAATACACCCAAATTTTCAAAAGTGCTAGAAAAGTAACAAAAATCTAAAAAAACAGTCTTTCCTTTTAAGAAGACAGAAGATAAAACTTGATTGGCCTTTTTTTTCACCATTGCTTTTTTAAAACGTTTTTGAAGATCAAAAACGTAAGATTTGGTTTAAGTAGTGTTTCATTCCTGTTTGATAGAAGAGAAAAAGAAATTACAAAAAAGCTTAACAGAAGTGCGAAGGAGAGCGAGAAGAAAAGGACTAAGCATAAACTACAAGAAGACATAATGCATGGTCATCAGCAAAAGATTGGCCCGAAATGCTATTTAAAAGTTGGGGGGGGACACTAAAATCAAGCAGGTGCGGAAGTTTAAATATCTGGGAAACGTTTTGGAAGCGACATTGAGATCCGTAGAAGTATTGAGAAACCAGGACTCATTCTAAAAGATAGGCAGAGAGTATTACGAGACAGTCGAATTTATTTGGTAACAAAGAAAAAGTACTGACATCTGTCATCCTTTACGGCAGCGAATGTCGGATAAATCCTCAAAATGATGAAGAAGACTCGAGGCGACGGAATATGGTTTTCTAGAAGGATGCTGAGAACTGGACCGACGTGTTGGCAAGGACGAGGTCTTGAGATTTGCCAACTAAGGAATTTCATCTTAACAACAGCTTACTTAACAAGGAAGAGGCGGACGAAGTTTCTAGGATATATAATGAGGAAGGAGGGCCTGGAGAATCTGATACTCATGGTCGAATAGGAAAAAGAGACAAGGGAAAATGAACCTGGCAATTAGCAGGTGGGATGACAAAACGTGGTCTGTGGGAGGAAGCAGAGGGAAGGAGCTTATTCAGAGCCACAAGGGATAGGAGGAAGTGGAGAGCCATGATCGCCTAGGTCCTGAAAGGATGCGACACATTAAAAGAAAAACGAAATTATGTCAACCGACCTGTGAAACTGAGAATATTAATATAGGAAATCTATTTACATATATAAACTTGAGCATATTTTAACTTTATGTTTTCAAACCAAAAGAATGGTCAAAATGAGATTTTCTTGAATTTCAGGAACTTAATAACTCAATTTATTTACTTGGAAATAACGCATTGAAAACGAGTTTAAATATATACGTATGAACAATATTTCCAAAACTTGCGTCCAAACACCGTTATCTTTTATCATTTCACACCAGACAAGGTAATAAAGCCACTAACACGTGATTGGGAGAGAATATGAGAGAAACATTATTAAAGAGAGAGAAAACAAGAAAACAGGAATTAAGAAGACAGAAGATAATGATTGGCATTGTATTTAAAATTTTGAAGATCAAAGTAGACTGGGAAGCAAGATTCTGGAAGAGAGTACCACAAGCGAGAAGTGCGAAATATGAAACTGTTAGCATAGAACTTACGGTTACATATAGCCATTTCAACTGTAAAATGATGAGATCTTGCCACCAATCTAGTACTGCACCTAAATTCATAAAGTCTATGTACCATTGTGAAAAGAAGAATTAGCATGAAATTATTTAAAGGAAAGGCAAAGGAAAGCTACATTATGGTGGTAGGAAAGTGACTGAAGCCGAGATGCCAATAAGTGAATCTTATGGGAGAGAAGAAACTCTTAGCACAGAACTTACGGTTACATCTAGCCATTTCAACTGTAAAATGATGATACCTTGTCGCCAATAAAATTTTTCAACATCCTAGCTTGGTAAGAATTAAAGAATTTTACGAAATTTAGATGGTGTAAGGGCAAATTGTCGACATTTTATATTTTTTAATTTCACGCATGCGTGTTGCTTTTGATTTTTGTCGGCTTCACAGTATAGCAGGATCAGTTGGGCACCGTCTATAAGAAAAAGAGCACCATGAATCAATTCTTTTTGCCAGAAGTTTGGAAACGCCATGCTGTACTGCTTGACATTTACAACGGAGGCGACATTACGAACATTTCAGAGTGTTTTGGGTTTCAATCTGAGGACAGTGCAGAGGATTCCATTTTTTTCCAAAATGTTTAATATCTCAACCCCCCCCCAAAAAAAAAAACTAAAAAACAATAAACTAATTGACTGTCTTCCCAAATGAGCAATAAGAGGGAAAAATCATTCAGGACTTCAGTAATGGCGCCATCATTCATATACTGGATTCCATCTTCAAAGTCCATTCAAGAACCATCAAGAGAATGGTGAATAAATTTAAAAAAGAGGAACAGTACAGAGGAAAACTGGATCAGGAGATCACAATATGAAGAAGGAACATGATTTCAATTTAGAGCTAAAGAGATCAATTAGAAAAGATCCAACTCAATTCATAAGACGTTTGGCACGCAAGAGAAGAGTTTCAGCTATGACAGTCCAAAGAGCAGTGGAAAAAAAAACTTGAAAATGAAAATCGTGCATGAAACCTCTGAAGCACGTTGTTACTTCAGGACAGAAAGTTAGAAGGTTAGAGAGGGCGAAGATCATCTCGAATAAGTTGAACATGATCCTTGAACATATATATATATATATATATATATATATATATATATATATATATATATATATATATATATATATATATATATATATATATATATATATATATATATATATATACACATACACACACATATATATATATATATATATATATATATATATATATATATATATATATATATTTGAACTTCATTTTAATCCTTCATGAGCTTCCGATCTTTAGCTATGATTAATTAATGATGAACATGTCATTTTCATTTATGAACGATTTTTTCACGATTCTTCTGTTAAGCTTGGAGAATAATTATACATTCTTATTGCTTAGAGTCCAATAGTGATATAAAAACCTTGGCGAATTCCAGTAAGATATCTTTAATCATTTCTAACATACAACGGTTCAAAGCTTTAATCTATCAATTGAACAATTTTGCTGTTACACGATTTGGACAATTTTTGTTGTTACGCCCGGTTTATAAGAGTCTAGATTTAGTTATGAACAAGGTTCGAGTTCTTGGGATAATGTTTTGATCTTGTAGTCTTTTGTAGGGTTGGAAAAAATCTACAGCCTATTCTATGTTCAATTTTTCATATCTGTCACTGTGAATGTCCCATAACCGAACACTACCCCGATGTATCTGACGTGTTTATGAATTCTCCATCCTGCATTTTTATGATGGATTCAGTTTAGCTATCATCACTGCTTTTATTCCAACTCCCGCTCATAATTTCTGTTTTTGAAAGGATTATCTTGACTCTCATTTCTTGTAAAACAAAGAATGCTGATTTTGTTTTTGTTCTAGATCATTCTATGTATAGCATAGTTTCATATCATCATCTGTTCACTACGCATATTTTTCAACACTTGGCTCCGGGCTAAGTAACAGTCTAACTCTCTGCTTTCTGGCGGAGAGGAACCCGGATGAGGCTCCGCCGAAGGGCAGAGTCTCGTTCGGGGTGGTTGACTGCTCCTGAACGCGTTTATGCGGGTTCAAAGAGGGAATATTTTTGGCCGAGCTTACAGGCTTGGAGATCCCACGTTAAACCCGGCCTTGTGCCACCTGTTACCCTCGTGGCGGGGTGGGGGGTTGTTTAGCTAAATATCACTTGCTCCGGCGTATCTTCGCGGGAAGAGGAAAAGAAAGTCAATATATTTTACTCCCGAGGGACGTTAGAGAAAGTACAGAAGATGGTGGAAATGTGGTAAAAAAAAGCTGATTCAAAAAGCCGACGTGTTTACCACATTTCAGAGCTGAAACGGACAGAGTTGAAAGGAATTTGTAAATCTTTTGAAGAGGCTCTGTAAGATGTTTATTTTTTTCAGTTTTGCTGAAGATTCTACTTAAGTTTTGAAATTTAAGAATTTTAATGTTAAATGTCAACTTTCATGTTTTCCCGGAAACACAGGTTTGGCAAAGAACCAAAAACCTGCCAAAGAGCTGTACTTAATTTTGAATGAGTTTATTTAAGATGTGAAAGATGGAAGAAGATAACGAGAAGTTAATTAAGGTTGATTCATTCTTAAGAAGTTCAGAGACGGCAGAAGTAAGAGGATAAAAATCTATCTATCTATCTATCTATCTATCTATCTATCTATCTATCTATCTATCTCCGTTCACACCTCTCTCAGTTCATATCTATCTATCTATCTATCTATCTATATCATCTATCCATCCATCTCACTATTCACAGTCTATATCTATGTCAGTTCATATCTATATATAATTATCTAAGTTCGTATCCATCCATCTATCCATCTATCTATCTATGTATCTATCTATCTCCCGTTCACACCTATCTCAGTCTATATCTATCTATCTATCCATCTATCTATCTATCTATCTATCTATCTGTTTACTTGTTTCTTTCCCCCACTATCTTATCTAGTTCATATCTATATAATTATCTAAGTTCATATCTATCTATCTATCTATCTATCTATCTATCTATCTATCTATCTGTGATGAAATTAATGTGTTCGCTTCCCTGGCGACCGACCGATGGTGACATTGTAAGAATCCAGAAGGACAAAGAAGATAACTTACCACGCGTCTTTTATAGACCCCTCCTTTCATTAGAAATAAAAAGCGCCATCTTTTGGCAATGACGGGAACTAGTATTGTGTGTACTGGAGGAGGAGGGCGGATCTACCCAATGGGTATTTCTTCTGTCGGAGCCTAGAAATTTTGTAAACTTTACGGTTAATTACGTCTATTCGGTGATAAGCTGCAACAACGGACTTTGTTGCAACTGTAAGCTTCCAGCTGAATCCAGTCACTTTTGACGGTCGGCCACGGGTAACCCCATGTTACCAAGATTTGCAGGAAAACGCAATAGTTTGCAACAAAGACAACCTCAATTATATCGGAATTAGTGGAAATTATCTAAAAGTTGCTACGGCAACAAACCGGATTTAAGTCAAACGTTCACAGGGAGATAGAAGGATCAAAAACTTTGAGGAACTTGACAAAACATGAATTCCTGGGACACAGGGATACTATTAAAAGTTGGTTATGTCGCCAAGATGAATAAGAAGGAGAGATAGCGACGGTTTGTTGCTATACTATAAGAAGCTGGGAGCAATCAGAGTCTGAGTTTAGGACATCCGTGTCCTTCTTTACGGCAGCGAATGTTGGACGATTTCCTGAAAGATGAAAAAGAGACGCGAAGCGAAGGAGATATGGTTCTACAAAAGGATGCTGAGGATATCATGGATATAGGGAGGATGCAAACAATGAGGAGGCTTATACTTAACATCAGGAAGAGACAGCTGAAGTTTCTGGGACACGCTATGAGGATGGAGAGCCTGGAGAATCTGATACTTACGGGTAGAGTAGAGGGAAAGAGAGACAAGGGAAAACATTGCATGACATACCTAGCGAGCCTAAGCAAGTGGTTGACAGAACGTGGTCTGGGGAAGGAAGCAGAGGGAAGGAACGTGTTGAGAGCTGCAAGGGATTGAAGGAGGTGAAGATGATGAGATTTCCTGAAAGATGAAGAAGAGACGCGACAATATTCAACAAAGAACAGGTAGATGAAGAAAAATACATTGAAGAAAAGTTTAGATTTATTCACTGCCTTATTATTTCGTTCTCAATGTTAAGACGATCAAAGATTTATTTATCAGAAAACGCAGTACACCACATCAGATTCCGGGAGGAATACTATTATATGCATGCAATTCCAGGATTGGAACCTGGATCCCCGACTTTGCAGAAGAAACCGTCATTAGATCCTAGATGCTTTAATCTCTCAGCTACAAAGAGAGTCATAAACAAGCAAGAACTTCTGTGTCATAAATCAGGACGTGGGCGATCATGTTTCTCCACAACCTCCCATTCTTTGAGACACAAAAGAAAGTGTGTATATTCACCCTCTCCTTCACTCAATTTTCTGCAAACGTTAGGAAGATTGCTTAATGTTTCTTTTGCTTTTCTTGCTCTCGATATAGTCCTTGAGTGTTAAAATCTCGAAGCCTTCTTTCCTTATTATGCATCCCCAAAAAATTAAACTGACATTTTTTGTTCTTTTAGCCTCAATCTATGACAATGCTATTTAGTTGTGTTGTAACGTGTGTTAAAAAATATATGACAATGCTATTAAATTGTGTTGTAACATGTGTTTAAAATCTATGACAATGTTATTAAGTTGTGATGTAAAGTGTGCTTAAAATCTATGACAATAACATTAAGTTGGGCTATAACGTGTGTTTTATCATCTATGACAATGTTATTAATTTGTGTTGTAACGTGTGTTTACAATCTATGACAATACTATTAAGTTGTGCTGTAACGTGTGTCTAAAACCTATGATAATGTTATTAGGTTTTTGCTTTAACATGTGTTAAAAATCTATGACAATTTTATTAATTTGTATTGTAACGTGTGCCTAAAATCATTACTGCTATGAATTTCGAAAATAAATCATGACGTTGTTTTCGTTTTGTAAAGTGAAAACAACAGAAATTTGGTTGTACAGAAGGATGTTGAGAATTTCATGGACGGAGTAAGTAAAGAACGTGGAAGTATTAAAGGAAATATGAACGAAAAGAACACTTCTATTCAGAATCAGAAAAAGACAGCTGAAATTCTTTGGACACATCATGAGAAAGGTGGAGGGGTGTGTGGACAGCATAATCTCCAAGAGAGGTGAAGAAAGGCAAGTAAGCTTTCTATCTGACAATCTAGTGTGAATGGATGTCGGAAGAGAGTGGGGAAGTGGCTTAACAAAGGGCAATAAGAGATAGGAAGTTTGGAGAGACATGATCACCCATGTCCAGAAGTTAGAAGAAGAGGAAAGAAGGATAACAACAAGAAGAAGAAGGTGGAGGAGGAAAGGGGGAAGATAACAAGAAGAAGGGGGAAGAGGAGGGGGAGGATAACAAGAAGAAGGAGGAGGAGGAGGAAGGGGAGATAACAAGAAGAAGAAGGGGAGGGAGGGAAGATAACAAGAAAAGGAGGAGTGGGAGGATAACAAGAAAAAGAAGGGGAGGAGGAAGAGAACAAGAAGAAGAAGGGGAAAGAGGAGGGGGAAGATAACAAGAAGGAGGAGGAGGAGAGGGGAGGATAACAAGAAGAAGAAGGAGGAGGGTAAGGATTTGTTTTTAATAAGATTTACGCATGGAAAAAAAGTCAACATGTCTGAATCGATTCCGACGAGGATGCTTTCCCAGCGACTACACTCTCAATCTATTCAAGTTTAGGGCTAACAGATTATTTTCTTCTCATATTCTCATAAAGTGCAACTCTTATCTCTTACTGCTCACACGGGCACGTTCCATTCACGGGCTCGGAATAAACGCTACTATCAAACAATATGCATCGTACAATTTAAATTTAAGAGACAACCATGAAATGAAGTTACAACAATTAATGACAAACCCTTTGAAAATGGCTGAAGAACTGGCCGAGAGCGCTTAAGGCAACAGACACTACAGACAATTTTTACATTCGCCATCAGAGATCGAGATATATACCGGGTGTAACAGCAAAATTGTCCAAATGATGTAACAGCATGGAATAATAGTCCATCCCACAAAATGTTTAATATCTTAAAAAACACTAAATTAATTGAGTTTCTTTTTTCCAAGTTTTCAGATAAGGCATTTAGCCATCTTGACACCAAATGTCGTAAGAATAATTGACAAATCATTTGAGTTATTCAGCTAGAAAGAGAAAAGGTTAAAATCGTTTTCTGTCAGTCCCATTATGTCTTCCCAACTGAGCAATGGTGAGAGAGCAAAAGATCATCAAGTCTTTCAGTAATGGTACTGTCATTTCTACTCTGGCTTCCAACATCAAAGTTCATTCAAGAATTATCAAGAGAACGGTGAATAACCTTTTAAAAGAGGGAACAGTCAAGAGGAAAAGTAGATCCGGAGGTCACAACAGCAAGAGGGATCATCATTTCAATTTAAAGCTAAATACATTCTTATTGTTCAAAGTAGGGTCTAATAGTATTTTAAAAACTTCAGAGAATTCCAGTAAGATATCTTTAAACATTCCTAAGTTCAGAGCTTAATTTACCAATTAGACAATTATGCTGTTATAACCCCTTTATATATATATATATATATATATATATATATATATATATATATATATATGTTACGCTCCGTATGCAGTCGTCGGGAAAGCATCCTTTTTGGGAGGTGGTTCCACAAAATACCGAATCGTATATAAGCATTATTAAAAACTGTTTCATAAATACATGTATACAATGGCTAAAAGTATAGCCGAAAGTGTTCGGCCATACACAATATTCAGAGAATTTCTGCATAATTTATGACCAAAACAGAAAAAAAATGAATAACACACACACACACACACACACACACACACACATATATATATATATATATATATATATATATATATATATATATATATATACATTTCATTGAATACGACAGACAAGGTGCTTTTATTTAGTTTATTACGGTATTACTGGATAATTGTTTGATTTAATCCAATTGTTCCTATCAAATCGTGATATGAATTTCCTTTTGAATGGACTCGCTTCCAGATCCTTTCACACGAATTCGGGTGTCCCCCAAGGCTCTATCCTTGGTCCTACGCAGTTTCTGATCTTCATCAATGATCTTCCTGATGTCATCATTTCCCAAGTAGACATTTATGCAGATGATATTACCATTTACTCCCGATTTAATAGCAAATCCATCAGAGCTGATAAAGTTTACATGGCCACTCCTCTTGAAAAGGACCTCCAATCGGTGGTAAATACCGTTCAAAAACACTACCCCTGAAGACTAGAAATTTTACCAAGAAACATCGATGTCGGGATAAAAATTGATATTTAAAAAGTTAAGTAATTATTTAATATATATTTTTTTTCTAAGGAATTAATGGATTTTATTTTTAATCTGATTTTATATCTTAGTGAGCCCAGGTAAAAGACAGCATTTCGAAAGTTGATTTTTAAGGAAGCCAATTCCATCTAAATATTTGACGTAGCACAAACTTTTTTTTCATTTACCAGTTTCACGTCACCTTTTCTTGTTACATTCGGAATGTAATTGAAACCCGATTGAAAGAATAAGAACCTGGCGCTTATTGTATTGATAATTGCTTATTAGTAAATATAACCGGAGCGAATTAACAGATGTAAATATCAGAAATTAGTTTTCAGGAAAGGTCTCCAATCAGCCATTTTGAAACTAGTTCGCTGAAGCGTGATTTAGATTAGCAGAAGGTCACTGTCCCAAATTTGCCATGCTAGTCGGGGATTTCGGAGGTGGGAATCGGCAACAGAAGAGAATGGAATTCAAGACATCCAATATTTTCGTATATAACTCCCCGCCAATGACTTTGGGCAGAGAGGGAGAAGAGAAGTGACTTTTAATCGAGAAATACAGCCAAAACGATTTCAAATACTAGACATTCCTTAATCATGTCAATGCATACATACATATATATATATATATATATATGCAGACATATAGTCTTAAAGAGACCTATATTTATAGGATAAGGTTCTCAATATCAGAGATAGAGCGGATGTAAATATAAATATAAAAGTGAACATTGATGTCAACACTCATGGTCGACAGAGGGCTATTTCATGCTAGACGCAATAATCAGGCCTGAC